TACTGCAATTTGATTCAATCGTCTTTCTCGTCCTCCTTTGCCGTCTAAAACCACCACCATTCCTTGACCTTCCTTGCTTTTTGAAATTATTAAATCCTCAGAAGGACTTATACAATGTAAGCAGTATGGAGGTGAGTGACTCATAACAGGTAGGAAGGGATGTGAAAGACCCTCATGAGCAATAGAACTGGAATGTGCCTCCTGCAGAAACAATCCAAGCATCCGAATTTGCCTTTATACCAGTGCTCCTTACAATAATAGCTGCTATTTATTTAGTACACGCCAAGGACTAAGTTAGGACCTTGTACAGACAGTAACGCACTTGTCCACATGACGGTCCTGCATGGACATAGGTTCAGTCTCATGCTCTTACATCCATCCAGGTGGAAATTGGTGGGGTTCACATTTGAACCTGGACCTCTGATTTCTTGGTGATCTTATTGTTCTAGGTACTTTATGGATATTACCCCAAATTGCCACAAAACCCTGGGAAAGTAAGCATAACTGTCAGCATGTTACAAATGAGACCCAGGCTCCAGGAAGTTAAGGAATATAGCAGAAGCCACTTGGCTGGTGTGCAGTAAGCCAAGACTTCCACGAGGAGTGTCTGGCACCAAATGTCATGTTTTTCCTCTTCAAATGTCATATTTTCCTCATTCTGTTGATCTATCATGGGTTGTTAAAATGATTAAAATGTTGGAAAAATATTTGCTACAAATCTACTTTTATTCTCTCAAATGACTACATATAGAGCAAAAGTTAGATAATGGACTACAAGAAACAGTCTTATGTGTTAACTCTATTTCTGAGTTAGAATGGTTGTCAGAAGGCCTTTTAATTTCAATGTTGGTTAAAAATCTTTCAAAAATGTATTATTCCAATTCTATTAGTAAATATGCAATAACTTAAGGAACTCTGGCAAATAACTAACAATTTGGGATTTTAAAAAATTCCCTTATTTAATAGTTGATTCTTACTTGTAGAAGACTGGGCAAATGTATACTGATTCCAGTGTTTTCCTGGAATTGTCATTTAATAAATTCTTTGTATGAGACTGTTGGAGATTCCAGTTAATGTAAGCAAACGAACTAAATTTTAATACTTTTATCCTCAAATGGAAGATGAGGTTTATTTTTCCTATGTCCAAATTTGGGTCTTTCCAAAACCTCCATATTAGGTAATATTTTATCACTTTATTTTGACTAATAATGTGCTTTTTACATTATTTGTATCAACCTAAAACACTTCAATCAATACTAATTTAATATACTTATAGAGGTCTGTTAATGAACATATAAAAAAGATGATAAAGATATTTTTAAAAGATTCAGTAGTTACTTACGCATTTATAACATCAGAGTTTTCATTGTTGGAAGTCATTATAAACAAGAATGACTTTCAAAAGCAACAAAGAAAATGGTTACATTGTGAATATCAAAAATGCATTCTTACGGGGACCAGTAGTTGATTGTGGTTCGAGTCCTGGACCTGGTGGCTTAAACTCACGCTGGGTGCGTGTGTATGTGCCCAAGACCCCGAGAAGATAATGGAGGAGAAGGGACTGTGGCGTGGCCATCCCCCCTGGGGGGGGTGATTTATTGCTTTCTGTCTCTCTGTCTCTCCCTGTCTTTCTGGCAAGCACAGGTGCCCTAGAGCGAAAACCTCTCCAAGAAAACAAAACAAAACAAAACATTCTTACAGAACAACTGATACAATCAGTAACACTGGTATTCCATGAATGGTTATCTGTGGTTTGATTGGGATAACTTTCCGAAAACAGGATCTTAAATAGAGACAGAGTTCTGAAGCACAAATAACTTACGGGTGACGATAACCTACTCTTAGAATGATCAGATAACTCAAAAGAGGGCTTTCATAATGTTTTCATCATGAGATGATGCATGTGAGGAGTTTGCATAGACAGGTTTCACGTTTATGTGATCATAAACAAGCAAGTCAGCCCTGATACACCTGCTAGACTCCTAGAAGAGAAAAGGCCCTTTCTTGGCCCTCTCATTGTCCGATCCCATGACAGAAAGGCATTCTGTGCATGGTGGGAACACAAGGAAGGCCAGAAAACCCCACCGTGGCTGTGCTCACACACTGAGGACCCAGCAGAAGCCTAAGTGAAAAGTGATTGCCACAGCCTTCTTAACTTGTCCAAAGAACACATAGAATACCAGCAAGTGGGATATTGGTCAAGGAGTTGGACTTCCATTGGCTGACCGTGGTTTGAGTCCTGGACCTGGTGGCTTAGAATTCATGCTGGGTGGGTGTGTGTGTGCATTCAAAATCTTGAGAAGAGATTGAAGAAGGGATTGCAGAGTGGCCACCCCCCCCGGGGGGGGGGCAGTGACGGGGAGGGGGGAAGGGGTGATATCTCTCCTGTTGCTCTGTCTCTACAGTGAGCACATATGCCCTGTAGCCAAAACCTCTAAAAAACTAACACCCAGAGTCCCTCCATAGACATAGTAAAGAGATAAACAGCAAAACTATAATATGTATGTCTATTCACTAAACTTTATGCCAAAATAAAAACCCAGTTCCAAGAAATTATTAGAATCACCTAATATTTTGCCAAATAAATTTACCAAGATAAAAAGGAATCATCTGATTGCTGAGAGTCTTTCTAAACTTGTTTGATCTTGTACATTATTTTGTTCTTTTCGGTGACAGATGGTTCTAGGTGCCTTCATTCTAAGATAAAGCTGGAAAATAATTATATCCTGATTATTAGAATAATTGTAGGTCTTTCTATGGACAGTGTATGAAAACAGAGAATGTGTGGAGTTTCACTCGTGGACGAAATCTGATCTTTAATAACCAAGAAGATAAACAAGCAAATAAATACAGACAGTTTGAAGGTATTTGTCTTTATGGAATTTGGCCAGTGCAAAAGCTGGCTTCCCTTGGAAGAAGACTAGGTTGGCAAGTTCCATCTTGTTCCCACAAGAATTTTTGCGATGGGAGTGATAATAGTTTCAGGTGTGGTTAGTGCATTTTGGGCATTTTTCCTGGGCGATAAACCTGACCTGAGTTTCACTGGGTAATCCTACCTCTTTGTTCCCTTCGGAACACTACACAAGTCACAGGAGTAAAAGTTCAGATGTGTTTTGAGCATTTCTAGAACTTATAAATATTCTTACATCTAGGGGCCAAAATGTACAAAGTAAAACAGTAAGGTATCATTATAGCCTATAAAGTCTCTTTTTAATTTTTAATAGAACGAGATTTAAAGAGCAAGGTCATGTTCTCTTAGAGACCCTGGAGAAACACCTAATAGACTTTGCTTAAATTTGTTTTTATGAAGCAACTCACTGGACACAGGAAAAGTGTTTTGTCTATAATGTTTTGTCTATAATGTTTTATTTTCTAATTCCAGATTTCTGAAAGTCCTTTTGTTTCCTTTCATTCTTTTGTATCTTCTAGTGAAGAAAAGGGAAACCTCATGAGGATTTTCATTGCTTCTTACAGAGTTGTAATATGCATTAATTATGTGCAGGGGAAAATCAGTGTTGGTTGGGATATAATGTATGTATATATTTTAGGAGGGAGAAGAGGGAAATTTTATTTTTAATTGACTAAAAGATGAACTGATTTTCTCAGAAGTATTTTTCTAGCTTTATATGTATATGTACAAAAGTTAGCTAAAGTTTCCATCTAGGGAATTATTCCAGACATGTCAGCAGAAGTCAACCAAATATTTCTATATTCATATGCCCTTGCTATCCCTTGGCAAGTTAATTATTTTCTCTTATCAAAGACATATTAAATGCTTTTCCTGTTTGCGATTAAACTTTTATTTCTTGGATTAAAAATTGCTAGATAAGACAGAACTTTGCAAAGTCAAAACTTTCTTTAGAAAAGCTATATACTATTTGTTCATTCAATTACGGTTACTAATGGTCATTACGTTAGGAGGCACAGCCAGGTGAAAATGTCTGAATCTGGGTCCAATAAAAGAACGATCAAAGTCACAATGGCCTTCCAGTGTGTTACACTTTCTCTGGTACCAAGTGATCGAATGACCAGCAGAACAAATCCACTGGCTATAGCTGCCAGCTTTTAGGAAGAAAGTTTTCAAAAGTTTGTGGGAAATGTATGTTATGAAAAAACTATGCACAGACTTAATTGTTTTCTGCAGCAAAATATCCTTGTACTTTAATTCTATTTTTCCACAGACTTTTTGAAGTTCCCTCATAGTATATTTAAATGGAAGCACCAACAATTTCCCTAACACTTCCATGAACAGATGCCATCTCATATAAGTATAAACAATCGTTGATCAAAATATTTATGTTTATAAATATCAAATTACCAACAAGGTAAAATATTAAAGTAGAACTTGGTGGACACATGCCTATTTAAAAAGGAAGTCTGTCATTAAAGTCAAGATCTAAAGGAAGGATTTGGGAGCAAACATTTCCTCTCTACTTTTCCAGGTTATTTAGAGAAGTATATTAGTGCATCTAAAAAAGTTTTGTTTACCAACATTTCATAAGATTTTTCTTTAGCTAAATTTCCTTAAGTAACATCAAGAATATAGATTAATTATTTGCATATTGGTGAGAACAGGGTCCCATAAGGAAAAAAAGAAAAGTCTTTAAAATCCATAAATTAACTTGAGCATCTTCTTCTAAATGTTGTAAAGATTGCATAGATATCTTAATAAGCATTTTTTACAGGAAAATCTGTGTACGTCTGATCAAAGCTTCTAAAGCATATATGAGAAATAACTTTAATAATTTAAAGTGTTGCAGGCATGCAAATCTACACTGTAAAAATAATTTTTCTTTTGGTTACCACAATAACTCTTTAAGATATGATTATACTTGTAAATGAACAGTCAATTTCTAAATGTTCTTGAAAAGAATCTGCAAAAAAATGTGGATAAAGATCATTTACAAAGCACAAAACAGCCCTTAACATTCTTTTCTAGACTTATAGTTATTCTGATTTGCATCTGATCATCTGTAAGGGGGCAAACCTACGTGACTTACCCTATTAAAACAGTGCTCATGATTGGGTCCATAAAAGTGCTGGAGACATCTCACATTGTTTTTGTTGACGATCTTATTGAAGAATTCATTGATATATTTGACAGGGAATGCGCAGACAGCAGATCGATTCACTGGTTCGGCAGAATCTGCCTTGCTTTGTGCGAACACCCCGTAGAGAATGTCATCATTCTGGCTGGCTCCTATTTGCTTAGCAAGATGGGCCCCAGGTTTACTGACATATGCAGCCTGAAGGATATTGAATACTTCCTTTCTTGTGGATCTCTTTCTTCTCTTTTCCGTGAGAATACATTCCAGAGGCATTTCCATGTAAGAATGCAACCCAGAGTCCACAGAACAGAATCTGATGATTCGCGTGTGAAAAGTTTGAGCATCTAGAGTTTCTTTTTGGACTGTCAAAAAGTAAATAAAATGGTTGCTTTCGAAGGCATGGACATACTTAATGGGGTAAGAATCCCGGAACTCAGGTAAAACATCAATATATGACTGGTCTGTCAAAAACTTAAAACCATCTTGTGTTTCCTTTAGTCTTCTCACCGATATCGAATGCAGTGAATGATCTGGAAGGTAAGAATTATTTATGGTATTGCCTACAAAGAAGGTGATGAACCGGTTCTTTTCAGACAGGAGGACTTTGGTTCCCAGGGGGCTCACCACACAGTCAGGACACTGGCTGGGCTCCTCGTCTGCCTGTGGGGAGAACATGCAATGCACCTCTGACTGTATATCAGCAGGATTACCACGGGGAAAGACGTGTCGTAGGCAGGTCCCTCTGTTGACACTGCCACAGCTAATGAGTTGGTCATCATAGTACGTGTCAACAAGCAGAGCCATGTTGATGTTATCTTTCCAAGTGCCACCTGATGAATTGGCCTTGCTCCTGCAGTTCTGACATGGAAAACAATCTGGGTGTTCTAGCACGGGCCCAGTCTTGTACTCAGCAACCTTCTGAAGGTCTTTATCATTTAAAACATAAATGTAGTTAATGGCGCCGAGGTAAATGTGATTCTTATGTAGAACAATATTCTGTATGGGTGTTGCTGCAGTGAAGTTGGGAAGCTGATACTCCATATCGACATTCATCTTGGACTTTATCAGTGCCTCTGTACACTCCCCATTGCTCCTCTGCACCAAGGTAAACAGGAGCACAAGGATGCCAGGTGCAAGCACAGTGGGGGCCTTCATGGTGAGAAATTTATCTGCCAAAACATGTTCAAGGCAAGAGCAGTTTAGTTGTCATTAGGAACACAGGACAAGCAGAAAGAACTATACCAGTTAAACTATCAGAAACAAAGCTCCCTAACTGGAAGTTTTACATAGAATGAAAACAAAAAACTCTAGCTAGTTACACATAAAGATGCATTGTGCAGTTGGACATGACTCCACATGGTTTAATTTTAGAACTCAAGCCACGAACGAGTAATTTTAGAGAACCATTATAAGACGCAAACAATGTTCTGTACTAAGGATGATACAGCAGCTGAGCTGTCGTCCTTCAGCAAAGAAATAAATTTCTCTCTTAACCCCCTTGTTGTTTAATGTGGTTTAATATCTGTGGCTAATGACTGGGTTGATATTTAAACTTTCTTGGTTAGTCAAGTAAAGGAACTGTGGTTCAGACTCATTTATTCTAGAAATCACAGCAGGCATTGTTTCCTTGGGAGCAAGTAGAATTACTAGTCTAAATTTAGTTTCCTTTTGGAAGAAAACAATCATAAATTCTAGAAGCAATATGATCACATGCTGTTTATAGGATTTTGTGTGCAGAGGAAAGGTATGGTTATGATTTGGCTATAGTTAACCTATTGTTTCAGACAGACAAATGCTTCATGTAAGATCACTGGGAATATAAAAACAGCAGACTGAAAACATAAAATAAAATATAATTTTCAGAACTAAAGTCTTCAAACTATTTCTCAGGGAAAACAACATAGTTTTCATTACCAAGTCAAAAAGCTATTTTGTAAAAGAAAACATTTTTTTTCATATTTCATTGTTTGTACCTGGACAATAGTTCCACTATGAAGCAGAGGTGAATTTGTTATTCAGTTTTTAAAAACTTAAGGTGCACAAGTTATAAACATTGTGATTTCTACTTATTATAGCTATATATGGGGTAGCAGGGAGGAAAGAAAGGGAATAAATGAATTAGAATGAATAGAAACTCAATAGCTTTTAATACTTGTTTTTTAAGAACATAATTCAGACAAGACAAAGTAAGACTCAAAAAGATACTAGGCATTGTGCCAGCAGGTGGTATGGTGGTTAAGGTGCTGGACTCCTACATGGCTGACCATGGTTTTGGTCCTGAACTTGGCAGCTTGCTTTCTCATTTCTCTCTCTCTGTCAAGTGTATGTGCTTTATAGCAACTTAAAAAAAAAAATAATAAATAAAATTAAATTAATTATTCTTTAAAAAAATACTAGGCATTATAATTTCATACTAATTTTGGTATGTGAATCTGTGGTTTCATCATAGGAAATGGGGCATAGTCCCTGTCCTTCAGTGAATCTATAATGTTGCTGAGCAGTAACACACTAGAACACATGACCTATAATACCCTTTACAGCACAAATCAAAAGCTACAGCATAAAAAGATGGGGACACGGCCTGTATTTAGGATTATTATGATTACAAGAATGATGGTCAAGTCCATTATTTTATGAGGCCCAGGAAAATAAGAGTAAAGTCTGTTTGGCTTACTGCTATATCTTAAGGGTGTGGTCATACAGAGTCTGGAACACAGGAGGTGTTAAACAAATATATACTAAATAAATAAGTGAATAAAAATTAAGCAATAAATTCAAAGTCACCTAACAGGTAAGTTTAGTGGATAGAAGTTGAATCTAAGTCATTTTTCTTTTAAATTTATTTATTTGTATCTTCTATAAGAAACATAAGGGGTGGGGGAGAGATAGAGAAATGGGGAACCCAAACAGAGTCTCCATGCCATAATCCATCCATAGCCTTGGCCAGCCCAAGTCATGTGTACCTGGTATATACAGGTGGGACCTAGGGCATGAACTGGGGACCTTCCCAAGTGAGTACAGTTGTGTTTGTGTTGCAACACTGTCTGGCCTCTAATCTAAATCTTTTGAACTCAAAAATCAAAGATAATTTTACTGTACTAAATTTTTAAGAATTGAGGCCTTAATTAAGAGGTAACAGGAGCTGGGCATGTGTGCATGCATGCCCAAGATCCCGAGAGGAGAATGAAGGAGAAGGAATTGTGGTGTGGCCATCCCCCTTGGGGGGTGATTTCTCACTTTCTGTCTCTCTGACTCTCTCTGTCTTTCTGGCGAGTGCACACACCCTACAGCGAAAACCTCTCCCAAAAAAAAAGAAAAAAAAAAGAGGTAACAGGAAATCATTGAAGGGTTTTGAGCTGCAGAGTCACATGTCCAAGCTTTTACTCTAGGAATACTGATTCGGTGGCAAGGTGGCTGAGAGCAGGGAGAATCTAGTAATCGAAAATCCAGTTGACTGGTTATTCCTACAGATTCTAATGAAGTAATAAGGGCCAAAACCAAGATTGTGACCATAAGAACAGAAAGGAAGGAAGGACTGAGAGAAATATCCAAGTAAGAAAGATTTGACACCTAACTGCATAGAGTAAAAAAGAGAAGGCAAAGATGATTAGAATCATCTTGGGGAAAGTGGAACAAGTTACAAAACTAGTCAGCAGTAGGAAATGAAGTTAAAGATAAGGAACATAATAAGTTGGTTTTATACAAGTTAAGTTCCATGTGCTGCTGTGAGATGAGTGAAGGAAAGTTCTATTGCAGGATTGACTAATAGGTTTTACATATTCAGGAAGATGATGCCTAGAATAAATGAACAATGGAAACTGCAAGCACACAGAGCATTTGTGCCAAAGAATATAGGTGAATAAGGAGAAAACGTCTGAGAAGCTGCTCTTGATGGAAAAGTGGCACAATTGGCCTTAAGTGAGATAAAATCTGTCTTGGGTGAGAGAGTGGGAAGTGGAGCACGAGTGGATCTTTTCACAAGAATGATTCAGCATGAGATCTTGGAGAAATCAGGACTATCGTTGCACTAGAGATAAACTTTGCATGTTATCTGCATAGATGTGATGGTTAAAACCAAGACTGGGTATGCTCATGAAGAAACTAGGTGAAAGAAGAAAGGTGAATGAACCAAATCTTGGAAATATCACAACATTCCACCGGGGGGAAGTTAGGTATCAGGAAGGAAAATGCTGCATTGCATCACAGAAGCCAGGTGAAAGTCCCCAAAAGGAGGATGTGAGCTGTGTGGATAATCCATGTTGGCCTTCGAGAGAGTAGTTCCAGGCCAGCTGGTGGTGTGATGATTAATGCCACTGGATCCCACATGACTGCACAATTCTAGTTCCAGACCTGGGGACCTGAAAAACACATCAGGTGCATGTGTGTGTGAGCCCAAAGTCCCAAGAAGAGGAATGGAGGAAGAGGAATGGAGAAAAAGGGATTATAGCATGGCCATGCCCCCTCAGGGGTGCTTTCTAAATTTCTCTCTCTCTCCCCCTCTCTCATGAGCACCTGCACCTTATAGCAAACTTAAAAAAATTCTGTGAGAGTAACTTCAATAGATTCAATAGTGGTGCTGGAAGTTAAATTGGAAGAGAATGTGTGGTAAGGAAGTAGACTGTTTGTCAAAGGAAGAACAAGTAGAAGGCAATGAGGGGTCAAGAAGAGTTTATTCTTAAATTGTAGGAAAGACATGAAGTTATTTATGAGACTTTTTGTTCTTTTTCTAACACTGCTTCAGTGTCTACAGGACATTCATACTATCCTTCCCTGGGAAACTAGTAATTGGTGGAAGCAATGGGTTAATGGACAGATAAAGGACTACAGAGAAAGGGTGACCAACCACACTGAAAATGATGCTAGAGTTGAGTTGAAGATGGATAAAGAATGAAAATTCCTAGGAGGCAGCCATTTGTGCAAAGGTAGAAGGCAGAAGACGGCAAATGACATGGCCAAAGGCAGCACATAATTGAGCCTAGAGAAATGAGAAATACAAAGAGGCAAAAGAGAGAGAAAATTGTTGGAGCAGGCTAGCCCATGGCCTGGTGATTAAGGTGGCTGTGTTAAGGTGGTTAAGGTGCCAACCAAGTGTCCAGGTCCCAGACCTGGTGGCTTGAAAAACGCACTGGGTGTGTATGCATGTGCATGTGTGCCCAAAATCCCAAAAGGAGAGAGAAAGGATTGTGGTATGACAATGACCAATGGGGTGCTTTCTTGATTACTGTCTTTCTCTCTCTTTCTCTCTGTTTCTCTCTCTGGCAAGAACATGTTCTCTCGGGCAAAAATAAAAACATAGTTGGAGCAATAACCCAAATATACAAAGAGAGGCATTTCCAAGAGCACTGGAACAAAAGAGAGGCCATTCTTTTTGAGATAGTAAGACAGGATGAAAATTCAAATGAAGATACAGGGACACTGAAAAAGTTCAGGGCATATAATTACAATGTTTTTTGTTTATAATTTCCAGAGGGTGAATGCACTTGCCTGAGAGAGATGGGGTGGGGGGTGGGCTAGAGGGAGAAAACACGCCCTAATGCACTGTGATCACACTGAAGCTCTTCTCCATTTCCTCATCCTGCAGGGACTTTGGGCATGCACACACATACGCCTGGTGTGTCCTTCAAACCACTGGGGGCTGGGATTTGAATTGTAGTTGGTCAAGTAGGATCTGGCTCCTTGAACCACTAGTCCTCAGGGCAGGACTCATACGACTTAAAATGTTTTAAATATATCAGGTATATATGATCATCTGCTGAAAGTGATGTATATAGAGGAGGGACCAGGGACTTCAGGGTGGAGGAAGATGTTTAGAATAGCTGCAACAGGCATGCAAACTAAAGTCAGCAAGAAATGAATGCAAGGATTGCTTTAAGGACTCCTTTTAAGATACGACACAATGTATTGTGACTTCTTTATGTTTATAAAAGACAGAAGAAACTCAGGAGAAAAGGTTCGGGATGCCATGATTATCAGGGTCCAAATGAAGACATCTGATTAAGGATATGGGCTTTAATGGAATAAGCAAAGACAGAAAACTGCAGTTGGACTAGAGGGCAAAGCAAAGTTTCTGGAAGGTAAAGAACTAGAAGAGATATAAAGCATATAATAATAAAACCCACAAAAATATGTTTCAAGTGCTTACCACGTGCCAGGCATTCTGTTAAACCCTCTGAATTACTCTTCATTAACACCCTGTGGAGAAGGAAGTATTATTATCCACCTCTTTTAGATGAATAAGCTTTCAAATGTAAGAACCATGATTCAATGCCATGCCTGGCTAATAGAAATCCATGCATACTCTTAAATGGGTCACTAATACTGAAGCAGCTTATCAAACTGTAAGATAGAGCACACTGAAACAGAAGTAGACAATCAGACCTTGGATTCAGGCTCTTTCCC